ACGCGACTGTAAATTGAAGAACAGTTCAGATTTTTAACCTAACTTTATTCTATTTTAATAACAAATAAATAGTATTTAAGTGGACATATCATACCTGAGAATTATTTCATCGAAACTTCATTATATGTGAGATTTCAAGTTAATGTTAATTGACATATATTCATTAATTACGCAATATATTTTATATCTGTACTTATTATTTAAATTTCGTTTGTTATACCCTCCAGAGGCACATAGGCATGTCTGCAGACTTCAACGTTATAAACTGGGTTTCGATACTCGTGGTGGGCAGAGCACAGATAGGCCTTTGTGTAGCTTTGTGCTTAACTTAAAACAAACGAAACAAACATCGTTTGTTGTATATCTTTTATGAAAAAAATACATTTATTGTTGAACAGAAACTCGCTCAGAGCATAATAAGCGGTTCGAATCCCCGTCACACCAAACATGCTCGCCCTTTCAGCCGTGGGGGCGTTATAATTTGACAGTCAATCCCACTATTTGTTGGTAAAAGAGTATCCCAAGAGTTGGTGATGACTAGCTGCCTTCCCTCTAGTCTTACACTGCTAAATTAGGGAGGGCTAGCGCAGATAGCCCTCGCGAAATTCAAAAACAAACAAACAAATAATACAAGTCTCCATTTATATAAAACTCGTGTGTCATCATAGCTCAATATGCTGTTAGTGATATATGTGACAAGTGTCACATAAACTGAGGAAGTTATTAGCAATACTTCAAGAATTAGATATGCTAAGTTTATAAAACATTGACCTACAGCCCGATGTAATAATACCTGCGCTATATACTTGTGCTAGCGTGTTATTAGTCAAATAGGATAAATCACCGTAAACGAACATGAGGAACATTCCCCAAAATGAATCGAGCTAATATAATCATATAAAGTTTTCCATTCAGAAATTCTACAAATCATATCATGCACTTGAAATCCATAGCTACTTTGATTGTTCCCCATCATGCTGTACATTAGATATTTTGACCTTAACATTACCCATCCCTTGCAGCTTAAAACTGACGTGTTACATCATAGCCTAATATACTATCATCAATATATCTAAGTAAAATCACAGACTTGTGACACATACTGAAACATTTATTAACAAAACTTAAGTTAGAAAAAGACGAATTTATCCAAGCTTTACCACAAATAATGTTCATACATTTTACTTTTGGAGATTTTAAGAACAAAATATGTAAAAGTTCTTGACAAAATATTTCATTTTTGTTGCTACTTTTGATAAAAGATATGGTCTACAAAAAAGACAGTTCTTTCACATTTTATAAATACATCATGTTTACCATTTATCATTATAGAATATACTTTACATCTAAAATAATGTGTATGTAAGTCTAACAATGAAGAACGGATTTTATGTCACCGAACTTGACAGTTAGTAAAAAAATTAATTTATATAATTTTTCACTTTACATAACGATATAGAAAGCTAAATGTACATTCATGACATTCTCAAAATTTGAGAGTAAATTAGGAAGCTACTTTCTGTTTTAAGATATTATTATCTGTTTTCGATCTAGAACTCACGTATCTGTAGCTTAAAATTAATATTGTTTACAAATATAATTTACCAAGATCTATACATAGTTTATCTTTTTTTCAGGATGTAATTGTTTAGACACACAAATAAATATCACTATCATCCCTCTTATAATTTGTGTTGTGTTCTTCAAATTTATCTGAGGGGCAAATTTCGCTGATAACTCAATACCCTTTGGTAGTTAGAAATAACACAAACTGAAACATGCATGATTTATAAAGTACTTGTATACTTTCTACTTTCTTAGATTTTTCCCACTGACCTTTGTTCATTAGTCATACAACTGTCAATGACCGCAAGTTGAAATTCAGACTGTTCTAATGTCATGCGATATTTGAAAATAATGAAAACAAGAACTAATATAATTCGTCTGATATATATCAACGCAGAGCATTGATTGTAACAGTAAAAAAAATTCTTATTCTCACAAAGATATTGATAACTTGTAAACGTTGTAATATCCTTTATATCCAGAGACTGTTGGTCAAAGACCATACTTTCATACATTCACCAACATGTTATTAATATAATGCATTATCATTGATTTGTATTTTATAAAATATCATAATCGCTATTTGCTCTAGTACTGAACGAAAAGGGTAATGTGTTGACGTTTATGACGAGGTAGCGTTAACACTACCAGGCTCTTTTATGATATAAAGGATGGAGAATTTGTTAAATACTATGATGTTACATCACTCTATTGTTGGAACAATAAATACTATGAATACTGTAGTGGACTTTTTCAATAGTTCGATACGATGATATACGTATATGTTCTGTGATCTCACGACAAAAGTTATGGTCTACAAAAAAAGACATATCTATCCTTCTACATAAAATCAGTTTATAAAGGGAGTTCATATAAACTCACATATCATACTTTCACCAACATGATTACATTTATATCCAGAGACTGTTGGTCAAAGACCATACTTTCATATTTTCACCAACATAATCACCTTTATATCCAGATACTGTTGGTCAAAGACCATATTTTCATACTTTCACCAACGTCCTTTATATCCAGAGACTGTTGGTCAAAGACCATATTTTCATACTTTCACCAACGTCTTTTATATCCAGGGACTGTTGGTCAAATACCATACTTTCATACATTCACCAACATGATCTCCATTTATATCCAGAGACTGTTGGTCAAAGACCATACTTTCACACATTCACCAACATGATTACATTTATATCCAGAGACTGTTGGTCAAAGACCATACTTTCACACATTCACCAACATGATCACCTTTATATCCAGAGACTGTTGGTCAAAGACCATACGTTCTACACATTCACCAACATGATTACATTTATATCCAGAAACTGTTGGTCAAAGACCATACTTTCAGACTTTCACCAACATGATCACCTTTATATCCAGAGACTGTTGGTCAAAGACCATACTTTTATACATTCACCAACATGATTACATTTATATCCAGAGACTGTTGGTCAAAGACCGTACTTTTATACATTCACCAACATGATTACATTTATATCCAGAGACTGTTGGTCAAAGACCATACTTTCATACTTTCACCAACATGATTACATTAATATCCAGAGACTGTTGGTCAAAACTATACTTTTATTCTGGATATAAATGTAATCATGTTGGTGAATGTCCAACAGTCTCTGGATATAAATGTAATCATGTTGGTGAATGTATGAAAGTATGGTCTTTGACCAACAGTCTTTAAAGACCATACTTTCATACATTCACCAACATGATTACATTTATATCCAGAGACTGTTGGTTAAAGACCATACTTTCATACATTCACCAACATGAGTACATTTATATACAAGTTCATAGTTTTGTTATTATGCAATATATCCCCCGCTGGGACAGCGGCAAGTCTACGGATTTACAACGTTAAAATCAAGGGTTCGATTTCCCTCGGTGGACACGGCAGATAGCCGATGTGGCTTTGCTATAAGAAAACACAAACATACAGAATATAGCTGTATTATTGGTTACTTTTGAAAAGTGGCTGCTTTCATCTCTATTTACTCAGTCACTATTCTGTATGCTTTAGCATATAATTAAGATTAAAATGTACTGCTATTTTATATATATACATATATTACGCATAATCTCTTCATATCTGAGTGCCAGGAGTTGCAATTTTTGCTGTTGGACGATGTTCTAAAAATACTATGTCCGGTGACCTTTAGAACTTCGATTTATTTGGCAAACATTGAATTTATTTCTTAATAAATTCAACCAGTATTCGTAAAATAGCTGTTAAACGACTTTATATATTTTTCATTTGTGATTTTTATAATGTCTTAATACTACCTACCACCAGTCATTACTCTTTAGATGGAGAGACCTTTAGATCACAGCAAAGCCCCCCCCCCCCCAATTTAAACCCATGTTTTGGAGGGATGGTCTGATTTGACTTCCCGTGATGAAGGGGTCACCGTTTAGAGGTGCTCGAGCATTTGTCTGTTTGTTTCTGGGTTAGCATATTGACAGTTATACAAATAGACTGGTGAACGTTACTTCAAATAAATGCTACTGTTTCGTGTTTACTGTTGTCAGTACTTAGTTTCCTAATCATATAGACAACTATAGTATTCTTGTTTTCTATTCACATACAGGTTTCTATGGTCCTTTTATTTTAAATTTCCTAAGTCTTTTAGTTTTTGTCTTTTCAACTTGTAAGTCCCTACTAAGTAAATATTAATTTACTGTCTACTTA